ACCATAGAATTCCACTATAATTTATCAAGATGTATTTCAGTCTGAAAAAAATATGAAATTAAAAGCAGACTAAAGATACACTCTACCTCGTTGAAATATTGGTTCAAAAGAAAGAAATGGTGTCAAGTCCATTTAAATGGCTGAAAAAGCCACTAGAGGGTCATTCTGAGCTTCCGATTGGTTATTCATGTCTTATATAGAAGTAAGTGTATATAAGGGAGCATTTCCGAAAATGGAAAAAGGTGGGCAGGATGCCACTGTGTTTGATTTATTACATGAGCAATATCTTAGCAAATTGAATAGATAAGAGGCTCTTATTTTATATTCTAGATTGTCAATATCGGTAATTTGAGTTTCTAATTTGTTTGAAACTATAGACTTAGTATTTTGACTTCACAAACATCTAATTTGAACCAGTGCTGTATTCAACATACCACATGACACACAAAAATTAATGTATATCTGTGTTTTTTCATATTTGCTTTCAAATTAAGAAATTGAGTAATATATATATAGTACTAAAATTTGAATTATAATCTACAGTTTGATACCAAAGTTATTGACATAAATTCGTGAAATAGTAGTTCAATGAAATTTTTAATGCAAGTCAACAAACAAGATGACATGGCCTTTCAACCATGACCAATCTCGAAAGGGTCGAGGGCTTGTAGGCCGTAGTAGAATGACCCTCCATGAGATTAAGGAATATGAGATGAGGCCTTGTCCAGAGCTCTTACACTCCATTTAGGCAGAAGCCTAGTTACTGTTTACATAACTGTTACAGCTACCTCCATACCTCATGACAATTAATGGTAAACAAACATATAATTGTAGCCAAAACAATGTTTATGTACAAAATGTGGCTATTAGCATACTAACTGTAACTGAATTAACCCATATGTGACATTTCAGCCCTAATGCTAATTTATCTTTTCACCATCTGTGTTCCAGAAACATGACCAAATCACATGAAATTTACAGACTATCCTGGTTTTTGTCTTTAAAATGAATTTTCTTGACTATTCCTGGGCCAGAAATGCAAAATATGAAATTCAATGATGTTTCCTGATTTCCCTGACCTGTGGAAATCATGGAAATAGTACACTGTGTCCATACATAGATATATTCTTACCTTCAGCATGATGTCTTCATTTTGCAACTGTGGTAATTTTACAAACTCTAAAAGTTTCATTGTGAGTTGATGCCACAACCTACAGAAGTAAAAGAAGCCATTGTTAACAAATATAACAATTTGTGGCAAAGGTTTTTGAAAATATTTCTACATTGCAACCCAAGACTGGTTATTGGTATTACATAAAAATATTTTTGTGTGAAAAAACTGTTAAAAAAACTAAAGATTGAAATAACTAACAGTTACATTAGAATAATCACAGAAATTCTAAGATAAACAAAGTAGTTAATAAATAATTAAAATCCACATTTTATATTTACACAATTTTAAAAACTTTATTGAAGCTATCAACTGCTTCCACTTTAAAAGCACACTCTACATGTACCTTGTTTTGACATCCTATATGTTGTTTTCAAAGTAGTATAAGTGGTAATGTAATAACTTTCTAGTCACTGCAAAGTTTTAAGTTTAATCTAGAATTCCCTTACACAGGCCTCGACAAGTATTTTCAGATCTAGGAGCCAACTCAGGATCCAGATGTGCCTAACTTAACTTCACTACTGTTTGTATTGGAAAATGGGGACTACACTAGTACCTCAGTTATCCACTGTTTTTTCATTTCCCCACATTTTCTCAAAATAATTGTGACATTACAATTCTAGACAATAATTTACATGTTCTAGAGAAATTGTTGGTCAGAAATTAATTCTGGTAGCAAAAGTTCAAATGTTGCACAATATCCACCGTTTCTGTTCTCCACGATTTTTTGCTTTCCCTGGACCAGCATGGATAATTAAGGCACCAGTGTATATTTATTTACTTTCATGGCAATGAGTGCATGCTAACAATCACATGATATCAATAACCACTTCATAGAATTGCCTGAATTAACTGCCTTTGGTCTTATCTGAGTCTAAACAAGTGTACTGATTGGTTGAATTGAAAGAAAGAAGAAAAGAAAATGGCACAAAATTAGTAACATGTGCACTTCCTTCCTGCAAAAAACAACAACATGAAGAAGTACTGAATCCACCATTAAAATCCTAGAAACAAAGTTTGATTTAGGACTCAAAGAATGAGAAAATATTTCTGGACTTCCAAGAGTCCAGAACTGTTCTAGATTCAAGTTCTATTTAGCACATGAATAAATTGGGAGAAAATACTAGGCACCATAATGAAAATTTTAGTCACCAACGCAACCTGGTGCCCTGGATTTTTCAAAGTCTGCACTAACAATAAACTTGGATAAGTTCATATCGAAATAAAAATACCATAATAGCAAAACTACCAGAATGTTACAAAATTGTCAACTTTTAAGTAAATATTGATGATTCAAAGAAAATAATATATGTATCATAACAACCTGAATTCTAGAAAACTTGTTCCTTTTACATGATAGTATTCAATATTATTAGTGTAAATAAGTAACTGATTATAAATGGATTAAATCACCCAGCTATATATGAAATATTAGTCAACTGAAAAAACTGTTACCAAAATAATGTGAACAATTTAAAATATCTATTCTGCATGCTCAATTAAGGATAGAGATGAAATTCATTTATGAATTATTTACATATTTCTTCATATAAACATCTTTATTTTACATATGAACAATTCCAAATTGGTGAGTTGGTGAGTCATGCCTAATGTAAGAGAATGGTATAAATAATGTAGGAAAAAGTACAGAAGGGTATAACAATAACACACTAACTAAAACAAATTTGGTATCAATACACAACAATAATAATCACACTAACATGGTTTTTATAAAATTAAACATACTGATTTTCATGAAACATATCACTATAATAATACTGTAGTTTTACTTTAATGAAAATCAAAACCTGCAATGGACTAAAGAATAATCTGACAAACTGGACAAGGTTGTGATAATATTAAATTAACAAGATACTGGTTACATTATAGTCAAGACTGATTTTATAAAATGTTTCTCACTATTAATATAATTTAATCCTTTTTATTTCTTTTTCATTAAACTAGCATTGACACCATAACTTCTTAAAAAGAGTGAAACACTAATGCATTACTCAACTGATAATAAGTTAATAGATACATTCATGAGACACATTTGGTCTGTTGATATTCAAATAAAACTTTCTATTATTCATTTTTTAAAATTCTGAATAGAGATTTGAACTCTCTGAATCTGGAATCTGAATTGCCCATAAGGATGGCTAAATTCACACTAGTTTCCAGGCTATGAAGGAGTAAAATCCCATACCCCAACCCAAAATCTCACCAAAAAACATAGTAGTGCCACACATGTTGCACCATACAAGAGCTGAATCCTCAGCTCTAGAAAGCTATTTTTCTCCTTGTTTTTACAAGTTCTGTCAATAGAGATGGCCAATGAAGATTACTTGCTAATGCAAGGTGGCTAAGTATAATAATCTGTCTGATAATGAACACAGTTAAATTAATTTTTTCTTTAACCTTAACAGATCAAGCCCTTTATCAGAGTGCACTTCCTTTGGTTACAATTTGAATACCCTAAACCATGACACCCCTTTGTAGCCCACCCATTCCCCTGAATTCAGTAATGTTGAATTGCAGGTGGTATGTTAAATACAAATCAATAATCTTTATCATCACTGTTATATTTCATTACATTATATTTTATTCAATCATAGGATCTATCTAGCATTCCTGCTTAATGTGCTGTGGGAATACAATATATGTCTAATGAAAAATGTATTGGTTAATCGTGAATATCCATAGTATGAAGTAACTTCATGTCCACGAAATAAATGATCTGAGTCAGTGCTGTATGTCCACACCCATGTACACAAAAAATCTGATAACTGAATACTATTTTAAAAACCATCCAAAGTTATCATTTTCCTACACTGAAAATGTATTTCCGATAGGTACTTACATCTTCTTACATAAATAGGTGTTCTTGTTCAGTGCTGCCTTCTATATGCAAAAAATAATTATGTATGCCACAAGCCTTCTATCTCCCCTCCATTGAAATCGACTGATTCCATCACGTCTCTCATACAAATCATCATGTCAACCCTCCATCAATAAGATGCATGTGACTCCCTCTATTCAAATAACTATCTGAATTACATTTTCAGATATGGTTCATTACCTCTGGTCACATAAATAGCTATAATTCCACATTGAATAGGTGGACAGACAAGTGCGAGGAAAAGAAAGAAGCATTCTTCAAGAGAATTTGAATGATACTTCCTAAGATTAGACAGTCAGATTCAAAGATCTGATGTGGGGAACCGCACTACATATAAACCAGGTATACTCTTTGCCATCGTAGAAAGATAAGTCAGTAAGTCAACTACAATCCAAAACATGGCCACCGGGTACCGACATCCATTTGGGGGGTATGAAAGAGGATAACACAACCAGTAAGTTGACTACAATCCAAAACCCAGGCCACCGGGAATCGACATCCATGTGGAGGTAGGAAAGAGGATCATACTGTCTTCACCTCAAGTTCATGAGACCAGAGGAAATCTAGTACCCTCCAACTCATGAACAGGGCACATGTGAATATGATAAATTGATAGATTGATCTGGAAACTTAACATCGGTATTGAAAAAATGTCTACATAATGTAAACCATCTCCCTAAAAAGTGAAGTTGATCAGGAGAATGCCTCCATGGTCCACCACCCCAGCAGCTTAGAACTGGAAAGTGGTAAGGACTCTCAAACTCTACTAGAAGAAAAGGGGGTAAAACATGATGGAGAGTCCGGAGGAACAACAATAACCATGAAACCTTATTTTTAAAAGCAGACCATACCGATTTATTCAATACAAGGCAAGCAGGGATGGGCAGCTATCCCCTTCTACTTTACCCACTTAGTGAATGGGTGAGTACAGACCAGGACAGGCAAATTTATAAAGCAATTCTATCCCAAGGATAAACCTACAAGCGATCTTGTAGAATATCCCATATTTGCAGTGTGCATTGTGTGACCATAGAATTATAATATGCAAGTTGACATGGCTTGACAGTGCAGATTTGAACAGTTAAAGAGTACCTGGTTAGGTACCACTCGCCATAGAGTGAGATCCAAACAATGAGCATTAATAAAAAGGAAAGGGGCCCCTGGAAAGGAAAAATAAGAAAAACAAAACTTATCTAGTCAAAGTGTCATTGAATTCTGATATTCTAGAATTGCTATAGACAGAAGACAATAACCCAAAAAGAAAGAAAACTGTGATCCAATGCAAATAGTGAGAGACGAACGTATTATGGGTAATCCACATGCCCAATTGAAGAAGTACCTCCAAATGTTGAATTGGTTTTCTTCAGTACATGCCCAAGAAACCTGTCAAGTGGGGTATTAATTTATGGGTCCTGGCAGAAGCTGTGAGTGGATACTGTTTCAAATTTAAAATCTACACAGGTAAAGAGGGACAAATGCCAGCTAAAGATTTAGCAGACATTGTTGTGATGGAACTGATGGACAAGTACAACAGATTAGGGCACTGGGTTTTCATGGACAACTTTTACACTTCCCCTCGATTATTTGACAAACTACTGACTTTGGGAACCTATGCTTGTGGGACATACAGGAAAGACAGACTGTATTTCCCACAGCAACTGGTTTCTACAAACCTTCAGAAAGGGAAAGCACATTTTTTTTAAATGTGGAGCTCTGACAGCCGTAAAGTGGACTGACAAACGAGACATTTACTCACTTTCAACTTTACACTCTAGTACTATGACAACTGTGACATGAAGAGGGAGGGATACTGTGGTTACTAAACCTCAGTTAATTGTGGACTATAATAAGTTTATGGGAGGAGTGAACCTAAATGACCAACACTTAAGTTACTACTCTACAACACGAAGGACAATAGAATGGTATAAAAAACTGTTTTTTCGAATTTTGGACTTGACAATTGTAAATGCTCACATTTTGTACAAACAACAGACCAACCAACCGGCATTATCCCAGAAAGCCTTCAGAATGGACCTGGTCAGAGCTCTTGTTGAGCCTCTACTTCAAAGCAGACCAGGTCCTTCTGGTATACCACTCATTAGAACTGTACAGGACTCGTGACCTCTGAGACTTACTCTTGGCAGGCACTTCCCAAAAACTGTTGATAGAAGTTACAGGAAGAGATGCAGGCTATGCCTCCCCGAAAATAAAGTAACAACAAAATGTACACTGTGTAATGAATTTATCTGTATTAAACATTTTGAAGAGTATCACACTAGTGTTACTCTTCAAAGAATGTACAAGGTAAAAGTCTGCTCTTTTCCTGTGTAAACAGTTTTTGTTAAAAACAAATCTTAGTAACATTTTTTGATTGTTTTTTGTACTTAAATATTTTTGTAAAGTTTTTATTTTAGTATTGATACATTTATATGTACAATAGTGATGCTCCTTTTCATGTGTCAAAATCAGTGTATAATGTTATACTGTATATGCTATCATAAATATGGCTTTTGCAGTTTTCTAAAATGTTTGTAATAAAATACATATCTATAAATTTCCATTCATTCATACAGCTTTTTCTTTGCACAACTTGATGTGTTTGTTTTTGATCATGCAATTTGTATGTACATTATTCCTTTTAGGCATGTATAAACATTTATGTATAATATTATTTCCTGATATTTGTAAATTATTTTTCCTTTCTAAATGTTATGAATAAACTTATATAAAATTGTCAAGTTTCTAGTGTTGTATAATTTGGTTTTAACTTAACATACCTCAGTTTAGACAATTAGAATAAAACAAATTCAGGAGGCCTAGCTATGTATTGGCCTACAAAATACAAATGTAACTATAATACGAGTATACTGAAAATTACAGTGATATTTCGGCTACTGTACGTTACATAACTATATAAATATACATATTACTATTTACTCATAAATGCTTAAATAATAAAATGGCAACTGAACAATAAGACAACTGGATGTGTTATGTGACACAAAATCGATATTTAAAATTTTTTCTTTACATTTCCTTTTAAATTAAAAAATTAAAACATATATAATATCAAAATTTAAATTATAAACTATGTTTTGATATCAATTTCATTGATGTAAGTAGTAAAAATGTTATTTAACAAAATTTTGAAAATAACGCTCCAAAAGGTTGTGACACGTGCATTTTAACCCACCAGGGGCGAAAGGGTTAACCACACTATATCTACTACATCCAGTGCTGATAAGACCTTCTGTTCAAACACAAGACTCAATAAGCCAACTGGGATACAACAGACATAGCAGGGGTCGAGATGCTATTAATATCACTAATTACTTGGACAACAACTGTTTTGGTGTGAAATAAATTAAGTTGGTGAACAATAATTTTTATCAATTATATTTAACCCTTTCATAACAGAAGCCTCTTTAAATGCTTTTCAGTGCATGTCACTGTGTTACATTCAAAATTTAATTAAAAACCCTTAATATCAATGTATGTGAATTAATTTAATATTATAATGTGTTCTATGATTCAATATTTTATTTTATCCAAGTTTTAAGTCCTTTACTTTAAAATAAACCTTTAACAAACTATATAAAACTTAAAATGTATTGTTTCGTGACTAACGAGCTATGAAAATTCTCTACTTTGACACAATGTATTTTCAATAATTCAATAGCAGTACTTATGGTAGATGTATGTCTAGATAATGAAAAGCTTAGATAACCTTTTGACTCTTTCATTTTAGAGTTCTCTTTATAGCCTTCAAGTAGATGTTACATACAAATGTATATTCATTATATAGCAGTTATGGTTGTTTCTTAACTAAATATACTAGAGATACAGTTTGAATTGTATTTAGGTCTTATTATTATATTTTAGTTAATTATGTAGTAGTTATGTTTTAAAATGCATAATTAAAAGGTTGAAACATTTTTCAAATACACATCATACTTTGCGTCCATTCTCAAGGCTTACAACATTATGCACTGAACAAAAATTTTGCCGAGGTGTTGCACATGTCTCCCAAAGAAACTGTAATATGACTCGAGGGCACCATTGACTTGTGTCAAGATGAATAATAAGTGGTAAAACATAACAACAGGAAATAAAACATTAAAAATTAACTATATGTGAAAAAGGAAAAGATCCAAAACTATGAATATAAACAAAGCAACATCTTTAAAGAAACTCTACAAAATATCAAAGAGTATTTATTTTTTTGATAGAACACACCATTTCAAATGGACACAAAATAAACTGGGCAAAAATTAGAATCATAAAAACAGAAAAATTTTGGAAGACAAGAAAAATTAAAGAATCATTTTAAATTAACTCAATAAAACCTTCACTAAACAGAGATTTTGGATTAACTGCGAGTAGCTTGTGGTTACCATTGGTTGAATCTACAAAAAAGTCTCTCCACCAATCAGAAACATGGATAAACCAACCAATTCCACAATTCACCAGAATACTATAAAGACAGACAAAACTATACACACGCTGACCTGAAGACAAAAGGTGGAAGACTTTCGAAACATTCTCCTTTACACTTGTGTTTCTACAACAAACAGTTGCCATCCATTCAACTTAGTTTCATCAGTATTTATTTAATTTTTTTATTTCCTAATTTTAATCATTTCATTGCATTGTATGTTGATGATAATAGCTAGAGTTAATCACATGGTAAAGAAAATGAAAAAAATAAAATGTAAACATTTATCTTAAAAAACATTTGATATCCTTTTAGGAGGTTCTAGAGATTATTCAAATGAAATATGAAAACTAAGACAAAGTTTTTATACTTAAAATAACATTCACCTTGCAAGTGATTTGTTAATAGTTTGAATGCAAATAACTGAAATAAAAAAATAACATTTTTAGTAAAAACAATTATAAAACTGTCATTATTTCTGTACAAGATACTTATGATCTTTAACAAAATCTTACCAGTTTTTGAAAACTCAGAGTTACTGTATGCATTGTTGTAAAAGTAAAATTCGAGACTCGATTTCTGAAAATTGCACGAGCCTACCTCGAAAGGGTTAGGTCATTAAATAATAAATATTACAATTAGGTTATGATTTTTATCAACACCAAATTATTTATTATTAACATTAGGTATTTTACTTTGAATAAGGTTCCCAAAGAATTATAGTTCCTAGCTATGGAAGTATGTGAATGCAAAATCACAGTTGTGAATATATAAATCTTCCACAAACAAAATACTATTTATTGTACACCAAAAATAAATGAAACATCTCTAGTACTAATACACAATGAATTTGCATGATTTATTTCAAGGCCACTAGTTGCAAATCCACTTTAAAAACATCACGTTGATCGCTAAACCTGTCATCCACAATTTGTCAGAGATCAGTGTGCGAATGTTAAAACCAAAACCAGCACGTCAGTTCAAATTGGCTGGATCATTAAGGATCAGTGATACATCAAATGATAGCTCTCTTCATGCTCTACTTTAGTCTGGCTAATCTCCTTAGATCCAGAAGCATTTATAATTTGAAAACAGACAAACAAAACTATAAAACCATTTACAATTTTTTTTAGCAAATGAATTTGTAGAAACAAGGCCATACAATAAACTATGTGGTGCAAATTACACAATGCATAAACCAATACATAGATAGGTCTGCCCAATCGAACCAACAGCGTGTCAAAAAATGATGAATGGGGATTGTAAACAGCCTATGCATTGTCATGGGAATGCTTGCTTTACTTCATATCATTGGGCGTAAACAGACAACGTTGTCCTGACAACAGTTTGCTATGTGTCATATCATTAGTTATGGCTACAGGGAAAGAATGTGTGCTACAACAGTCTATGATAAAAGTCGTATGAATGATGTATCAATTACCTCATGACATGATGTAGAATGGGTAGAGATTACTACTGACACATATATATCAATCACAGTATTTCAAATTTACAACCAGTATGATTACAAGATCTCTCCTATTCTTTCATAGGTACATAGGTAAGCTCATACTTCATTACGAACAATTTTTATTTCATTTATACGTATAATATGAATACATGTGTATGAGTTTGAAATTGATGGACTCTATTGAGACTACATTTTATCTTGCCTTGATATGGGTGTCACGCAGTATCAGGTGACCAGGTAAAGCAATAAGTCAATGATATTTTGTAAACAATGTTCCAGGTATGATTTTTAATTGCTTTTCATTAATTACTAACTACATAATTAAGCTTGCAGTGTAAATCTACTAATTTGTGACTGTGGAATCCAATGGTGTGTGCATATTTTTGTTGTTATTTTCCTTATTTAAAAATCATCAAAATCGTCTACCTGAAGTTGGACAATAATATTCATAATTGAAATAAGAATCAACATCTGGTGGCTGTTACAGCTTAATAATACTATTTGCTTTGATACCCTTGGACAGGTGGCAGATCGATTACGGAATTATGCCTAACATGAAATATCTACAGAATTTATTTTCGTAAACACTAACCCCAGCTTATTCTAATTTTTAAAAAAATAATAAAACTATTTGTTCAGTTTAGGCCTACCTTTTATTGTAATATTCTTCCAATACTGTCCACTCTTGGCTCAGTTCAGGAGAGCTACTGTTTTGTTGAGCTGATAAAAATGCATTTACATCGATAGGCATTGTAAAAAGTTTTGAATGTAAATTAAAAAAAGTAATAAATCCTGATAAAATTAAAATTTTTAAGTTAAGTTTCGGTCTAGTGAATGAGAGCAGAATATTCAACTTTTAACCTTAGTCATTCCACTAGCTCGTCAACAGATTCATGGTACATTGCACTCTTCCGGTTTAGAAAAGAAAACCTGATGATAAATAATGTAAAAGCACAGACGTTGATTTGTAATCTCATATTTGTTATAAATTTAAAATGTTACTAGACAACTATTCACCCACTATTCAGAGGTTATGAAAAATTAAAGCTAATTTCAATACTGCACCGAAATGAAGGTTTATTTTGAGATAATTTAATTAAATATTTCAATTCATTCATGTTATTTATAATTCACGAAAAGATATTGATTGTTGATCGGGAGTAAAAGTAAAGACCATTTCATTTTTTAAAAAAGTGAAGTCAGAGTTTTCAGGTATTGTGATGAATTAGTTCATTATGTTATGGTCTTTCCTCTTAAACCTTCTACAAATAAGAAACAGTAACACTTTATTTTTTCTTCGAATTACCTACCATAACCAAGGCACATTAGTGAGAAATTCTTCAAGATCTTGTTTTTGTCATTTTACGCCTTTTAATGAAGATGGGAACATTGACAGGGAAATAGATTTGAACGAAGAAGTTTCATAAAGAGCGCGAACGGTACTGTGATGTAAAATTACTCATGCAAGAAATGTTCATAAAAGTGACCCGAAAAATGGCGCTAACTCGGTAACCCGTGGCCCGATGAAGTTTCGTAAAGAGCGCGAACGGTAGTATGAATGATTTTTAAATTGAGAAAATAAGCAAACAAACAATCGGCCCGGCATGGCCAGGTGGTTATGGCGCTCAACTCGCAATCTGAGGGTCGCGGGTTCGAATCCCCGTCACACCAAACATGCTCACCCTTTCAGCCGTGGGGATGTTATAATGTGACGGTCAATCCCACTATTCGTTGTTAAAAGAGTAGCCCAAGAGTTGGCGGTGGGTGGTGATGACTAGCTGCCTTCCCTCTAGTCTTACACAGCTAAATTAGGGACGGCTAGCGCAGATAGTACTCGTGTAGCTTTGCGCGAAATTCAAAACAAACAATCTCAGAGTTTTAGTAGTAGATAGATTCTTCAAGATTTTGTTTTTGTCATCTTACGCCTTTTAATGAAGATGGGAGCACTCACAGGGAAATAATACAATAGCCAATGCTCGGCGAGAGATTTTCGTTTATATAAAATTTTGTTGTTGTTCTCGACTTGATTTTTATTTATTACCTCATCTCCATAGTTACTATTTGCTAAATAGGTCAATAATACTGTAGGTCCATTTACTTGTTGTTCTTTCTCGTGC